ATTTGTTATATATGTGTGCGTAATATGTGATATATATATATATATATATTAACGATAAATTCTTGATTTAAATAGTTGATATAGTTACTACGGGCAATCCAGCTGAATTTGGAAATATATTTATAAATTCAACATTTCCGCCAAAAAATTCTATTATAACACAAAGCAGTACAACTCCGTTAAACATTACCTATTTAAACCAAGTACAGTTAGCATCTGGTAACATTAGTATATATCAAGTAAACGACAATCCTATCGATGATGATTCTCTATCATCATTTATTAATACGGATAATTCAATACTACGACAAACTTTTTCTGGCAGTGATTCAAAATATGTAAAGATGATCGATAACAATACCATAACCCTCAGTGTTTTATCAAGTACTTTCAATCAACCAGATAAAAGTTATTATATATTGGTTGAAAATGGGTTTGTTAAAGATAAAAAGACAAATCAAAACTTATTAGGTATCAAATCAAATATGTGGAAATTCAGCACAGGTAAAATTTAATTGTTTTAATTAATTTTATCAAATTTTTGTAAAAAAAAAATTAATTTAACATATATATATATCTTTAAAAATGCACTCAAGATTTACCTAATTCAGATACGACTGATCAAAACTCAAAAAGTGCGTTAATAAGATTAACACCTGATGGTAGTTCTTTCTATACCACAACCTCCTCCGCCAATCAATCCATATTTTCCGAAGGAATATCAAGAGAAATAGCACTGATGATACCATGTCATATCTCACGTGTAAGCACGACAAAACTCTATCAATACGATGCATCAAAACCAAATCAAATACTATTAAGAGTTGATGTTCAACAACCTTCAAATAATAATGATATTTCTCAGTCATCAATAACAGAATCTGGATCCGATGAGGTTTTACGTGACTTGGATGTTTTGATTAGAAATAAGTTTATCACCCCTATTTCAAAAGGTCTTTATACTCGCTATCTTGATGATGAGTTTGGAAGCCCTAGAATTCGTAAGTTTTCTTCAAAATTTTTATTATTATTGATTATGATTCATATACATATATATTTAAGTAAAACATATATATATTAATTTATATATTTATAGCGGGTTTATGGGATCAATATAAATGGATTTTATTAGGATTTTCTATATTAATGATTATACAAATTTTCATCTTTTGTCTTGCTAGAAGAATAAATAAAAAGGTTAGTCAAGTATTTATTGTATATACTGTATGATTTAAAAAAAAGCATAATAATTAATTTAACCAAATATGTTTATATTTAGGGAAGAAATTGTGCTGTGTTTTTGTTTACTTTAATTGCAATCGATTTAGGTTTAGACATAGCATTTTTATTAATACATGGACAAGATTTATTATGGTTATATCCAGTCAGGTAAATAATAAATACAAATTATATTTCCCTTTTTTTATTCAAAACCTAAATCACCATTGATTAATAACGCGATGATGGTGATTTTATTTTATTTTTTATCTAGTGCAATATTTATAACATTACCAATCCTTTACAATATTATATCAACATATTTCATAATTACAACTGAAACAAAAAATGATGCCTTTTATAATTGGTGGCGTAAACATTCAAAAACTGGATTATTGTTTACCGTATTAGCAGGTGCTGATTTGGAATCTCTTAACACCATATCTTCGGGTTGTATGTCGTTGGATATGTTAAGTGCACCTTTAACTCCTAGAACTATGGATTGGATTTGGTGGACTAATTGTTTTAGTATTGTTATTGAAGATTTACCACAATTAATTGTTTTGGTAATTATCCTTTAAATTAATTATTATGCTATTATTATTATCACTATCAATTAATCAATCATTCACTTTTTTCCTCCCCCCCCCCCAAAAAAAATAGACGATATATCAGCTAAATACAATATTACCAAATATTATACCAATTTTAACGTTATCATCATGTACGATAGTGTTTACATTAAAAATAGTGAAATCGATTGTTATTTTCATCAGTATTCGTAATGATCGTAAATTAAAGTTTAAAAATGGCAACAATTCTATAATTTCTGTTCCATACGAAGAAACCAACGATGATAATTTATCACAACCACCTACTAAAACACCAAAACACCATTCATCGTCATCAGATAAACCAGGATTTTTTAAATCTTTATTTAAAAAAAGTAGTAGAGATGACAAAATTACTGATTATATTATTCCACCAAAAAAAATCGGTTCTGCTGATACATCTAGAAGCAGTTCTTTATCAATGGTCAATTCATCTGATGGAAAGCAAAGTCATAAAAGTAGTCGCAGTCACAATTCTTCAATTCTTAGTTTTAAATTCATTTTTAGTTCTTCCGGATCAAGTAATAATGGTGAGAGTGGGAAAAGAGGAAGTTTTAGCAGTTCAAGATTTGGTTTCAGTTTTCTTGGTGGTGGTGGTGGTAATGGTAATAATAATACAACAGATGAACCAATAATATCTACTGATGAAAAAACAGGTCAACCTCGTTTAGTATTAAGAGATCCTAAAAACATATTACCAGGAATTAAAAAAAC